GCGCGAGAAGAAGGTTCGCACAGCGGGAGGTCGACTAGGGCTAGCCTTTTATTATGGCGCCTCCGTGATCTGCCCGGGCACGAGCTTGCCCGGCACGAGCTTGGTTCACTGGTGGAGCACGCTCCCGTTACACCTTCCTTTTTCTTTCTTTTTTTTTTAACACACACGAGCGAAGTCGAAGTTACAAACGAACAAACAAAATTAACAAACAGCACCCACTAGGAGAGTTGATTGAAATTGGCATCGTAGCGAAGCCGCTGAGGAAGACGCCGCATCCGTGTCGAGGCTCGCGTTGGTGCCCGGATGCCAATGACCTGTGGAGCGACTGCGCCTGCACCAATTGCGGTGGGTGGGCTTTGTGAGCCAGATGTGCCCGGAAGGTTCCTAGATGGCTGCGGCGAGGTCAACATGGGTTCGTCGTTGTCGTCGGGCTGAGGGTCAGGGACAAAGACTTCGGGCGTTGCGATGAGGTGTTGCCGGTTGCGACGCAGCTCTCTCCCGTCCTCTGTTACGACCCTGTAGGACCTTGGTGCCACCTTTTTTTGAACTTTGGCCTTGGTTGGCCACCCCTTTCTGTCCCTTATGCGGACAACATCCCCTGACTGGAGTGGTGGTAGGTGCCTCGTTGATCGGAGCTGCTGACGCTTTTTCACGTGGTCTGCGGGCTCCACGGTGAAGTCAGGGACCAGCGACCTAATGCGTCGTCCCATTAGCAGCTCACTGGGCGATCTTCCATCCTCCAAGGGTGACGATCTGTAGTTGAGGAGACCTAGGTAGAAATCTCCGTTTGAGTGACAGGATTTTCTTAAAATTCTCTTGATTATCTGAACTCCCTTTTCCGCGAGACCGTTTGATTGCGGAAAATACGGACTGGAGGTGACATGCCGAAAATCGTACCGCCTAGCAAAATCCCGGAACTCTTTTGAGGAGAACTGGGGGCCGTTGTCACTGCATAACTCTAGCGGAATCCCATGTCTCGCGAAAATTCCCGCGAGCTTGTGGACTACCGCAGCTGTGGTGGAGTTGTCTAGAGGCTCCACTTCGGGATAATTTGAGCACGCGTCAAACGCAATGAGGTACGTTTTTCCAGCGTACTCGCACAAATCGGCGCCAACTCGGGACCATGGCTGAGACGGTGTCTGCCTCATTAATAGGGGCTCTGCTGGCTGCTGATATGCAAACTGCTTGCATGTAGCACACTTTCTAATCATGTCCTGAATCTCAGATGTCATGCCCGGCCAAAACATCAAAAGCCGCGCTTTGGCTTTACACTTGTTGCTGCCCAAGTGACCTTCATGAAGCCTCTTCAGCATCTCTAGGCGGAGACTCTTCGGTATCACTACCTTAGCACCTTTGAAGAGCATGCCGTCAATCACCGACAACTCAGAAGAATATGCTTTAAAGTCTCCTACCACCGGCCAGTTGTTTTGAACAGACTTGACCACAGTGCCCAACACCGCATCGTTCGCTGTTTCCTGTCTGAGCCTCGTGGACGTTGCCTCACTCACCAAGCTTGAGAGGACGGAGATTGCGTGAACCTCCACGTCATTGTGCGGTGCCCCCTTTTGGCTGCCTGGTAACGGTGCCCGTGAGAGCGCATCCGCCAGGACGAGCTGTTTGCCAGGGACGAACTGGAAGCAATAGTCATACTTCATTAGTCGGATAAAAAAACGTTGAAGACGGGGCGGCATGTCGCCAAGAGATTTCTTAGAGATGGCGATTAGGGGCTGATGGTCTGTTTCTAGAGTTATTCTCCTGCCGTAGATGAAGTCATGGAACTTCTCACACCCGTAAACAGTTCCAAGCGTTTCCTTTTCTATTTGGGAGTACCTTGACTCACATTCGGTGAGCACTCTAGAGCCGTAAGCTACTGGACGCCAGTTGGCCCCATGTAGTTGAAACAACGCTGCACCAAGGCCGTACCTTGATGCGTCTGTAGACACCTTGGTATCCCGTGTGGGATCGTAGATCGCCAGCAGTGGCGCGTTTGTTAGCACCACTTTGAGGTCGTGCCATTCTTGTGCGTGGTGTGGCTCCCAGACGAAAGGCACGTCGTCCCTCATAAGACTTCGGAGCAGCTTCGTCTTCTCCGTGCAGCAAGGTATGTACTTGCTAAAATATGTGACAATTCCAAGGATTCGCTGAACCTCTTTTTTAGTAGTCGGAGCTGGCATCTGCACAACACTCTCGACTAAACAGGGGTCAGGCCTAATCCCTGCCTTGCTTATAGGCAACCTGCAATGCTGTTTGGTTTGGCGCCATCCAGCGGCGGAAACAAGAAATACTGGGTACCCCTGGGAGTGGCGGCTGCATTGTTCAAACGTGAACCTTTACTCTGGTGGCGCCGCTTAGCCTAGTGTCTGAAGCAAGAAATACTGGGTATCCCAGGAAGCCGTGATCGCGCAAGGTGCCAGTAGAGCGGAAGCTACGGCCCTGGCGGGCCAATCGGAACGTGACTGCGTATCACCGGAGCGCGCCTCAACTCCGGAGAAGTATCAGGCTTTTCGCTGCGTCATGCTCCAATATATGTGCGTTGCGCTCGTATACGTCGCGCATTACGAAGCATTCGGCACGCAATGTGGGGCTTATCGTTCACCCTTTTCCAAGTTACAACGAGACAGGGTATAACCTTGCGCTCTCACGCTGCTGGCGCCGCCTGCCCGTTGCCGGTTGGCTATTCGATCTCCCAAATAAGTGATTTCGCTCACTCCGAACTGGCACTTCCCAGCATTCAGGGTAATGCCACTCTTGCGCGCAGCTTCGAGAGCATTACGCAGCCACTCGTCATGTTCCGCTTTGTTTGTTCCCCAAATTAACACGTCATCTATGTACACACGTACGCCTGGAAGACCGTCGAATATCTGAGTCATCGCTTTCTGAAAAACTTCCGGCGCTGATGCTATGCCGAACGGTAATCGCAAAAAGCGATAACGACCGAAAGGCGTACTGAATGTGCAGATTCGCGATGTTGCGTCTTCCAGCGGTATTTGATTGAAGCCCGCGTTGGCATCAAGTCTCGAAAAGACACTCGCGTTTGCCAACTCTGCCTCGATGTCTTCTCTTTTAGGCATTTGGAAATGTTCCCTCTTCAGGCTCTCATTGACGTTCCTAGGGTCCATGCACACTCGCAATTTTCCATCTTTTTTGCGTACAATAACAAGTGGGCTTACCCAGTCTGATGGCTCGTCCACCTTCGTGATGATTCCAGCACTTTCCATGCGCTCGAGTTCGTTCTTCAGCGGCTCTCTCAGAAGGTGGGGCACCCTGCGTGCTGCTTGGATGACTGGCTCGGATCCGGGCTTGAGTACCATCTTGTACTTTTTGTTGATGCACCCGAGTCCGTCGAAGAGTTCTGGGAAGGTCTCAATTATGTCCTTTGGCACACAAGCCGACACATCGTCAACGCGGTTCACGAGTCCGAAGTATTCACAAGCCGGCAGTCCCAGGAGGGGTCGATGGTGGTCTTGGACGATGAAAAACTGCACTCGTGCTTCCTTGCCACGTAACTTTACAGTGACAACGGCGGTTCCATAGTGGCTGATCGCGTTGCCGTTGTAGTCCCGTAACCCTGAGGTTACTCTGGTCACTGGAACAGCGTCGTCAATCTGGCGCAGCACCTTCCTCGGTAGCAGATTAGCTTGCGCTCCGGAATCTACCTTTAGGTTAATAGGCTTCCCAGCCACTTGCGCTTGTACCCACCATTCGCCCTTGCTGTCGCAGTTTTGCACTTCCAAGACGTCGAAGTCATGGTCCTCGGGCACGTCGTGCACGCTATCAACAGGAACTTTTGTCTTGCAGCGTGTGGCGAAGTGATTTTTTCCTTTGCATTTGTAGCACTCTTTGCCGTATGCGGGACACTTTTTCGGTTCGTGCTTCGTGTTACACCGCCCTCACTTTCCTGCTTGGCGGGACTGGCGTTGCTTCGACACGACTTCCACGGTCTGCCCCGGACTGTCCCAGGTTTTCCTCTGCTTGGCTGATATTTCTGCCGCCTTACAAAGTTGTACTGCTTTCTCGAGCGTCAACGGGTCTTCGCGTAGCAGTCTTACTCTCAGCTTCACGTCGGCTGTCCCGTAAACAATTTGGTCTCGAATCATCGATTCGGCCAGAGTTCCAAAGTTGCACGACTGTACTTTGAGCTGTAGGTCTCTGAAGAAACATTCGAACGCTTCGTCTTCGTTCTGCTTGCACGAGCGAAATATATATCTTTCGTAAGTCTCGTTGCAGCGCGGCGTGCAGTAGCTTTCAAATTTTTGCACTAACGTAGCGTAGCTTTCGCGTTCTTCGGTGGAACATTGGAAAGTATTAAAAACTTCCAACGCCTCTGGACCCGCGACGTGTAACAGAATGGCGGCCTTCTGCCTCTCGGAGCGCGGGTTTACTGGCTCCGTGGCTTCGAGGTACAATTCCAATCGCTGCCGGAACTTACGCCAATTCTGGGCAAGGTTGCCCGTCAGCAAGAGTCCCTCCGGAGGTCGAAGTCCGTCCATGGCTTGGTCACGAAGTCAGCGAAGGATGCGTGGTCGCCGTATCCCACTTCTGACACCATGTATCAGCGCGAGAAGAAGGTTCGCACAGCGGGAGGTCGACTAGGGCTAGCCTTTTATTATGGCGCCTCCGTGATCTGCCCGGGCACGAGCTTGCCCGGCACGAGCTTGGTTCACTGGTGGAGCACGCTCCCGTTACAGGTAATTTCGCTGACGCCGCTCAAGGTAGTTAGACATCGCCAGGAAGACATAGAACCAACAATTCGAACGTGAAAAAGGGCAGGGGGACTCACACCGACGCCGACAAGATCGCATTTCAATGGTTTGTTTATGGGCGACGGCGAGCTTTTTGCCCACACCCCCACCGCGCATGCGCGGCGCCGGTGGCGTCCGCTAGGGGCGCTCCGGGCGCTCCGGTTTGTTTGTAAACATGAGTTGGTGTATACCAAAATATATTTTTTACAGGTGTCCTAACAGATGATGATGATGATGACAACATTTAATTTGCCCATAGATGGGGTCAGGGAAGGGGGAGTGCTGAGAGAGCCTCCCCCTCTCCCCCCTCAGTCGGCGGCCAGGAGTTCTTGTTCCTTGGCGGCGGCCTCGGCCATCTGGACCAGACGGACCTGTTCACCCGGGTCCGAGCTGAGCAGCACGGTCTCCCACTGCTCGGAGGTTCTAATGTTTAGCATTAAAGTTTGAGTTCTATTTCTGTTGTTTCTATGTTTTTTAAAGGGGCAGGCCCAGACCATATGTTGCAGGTCGGCCCTGTCCCCGCAATGCTTACATGCGCTGGAGTAAAGCCCCGGATAGCAGTGACTGTACGCCACGGGGTTTGGAAATGTATTAGTTTGAAGAAGGCGCCACGCCACTGCCTGCCATTTGGACAGAGTCCTGTCTGCTGCGGGGTATTTAGCCCTTCCCAGCCTGTAGTGGTTAATCACGTCCCGATAGGCAACCAGCCTGTCTCTGTCCGACCGGCGGAACGAGTGTGCGTCAAAGATGTTGGTGACGTCGGCCCGGTCGGTTAAGCCTCGAGCCGCGTCGTGCGCCTTCTCATTCCCCGGGAGGCCAGAGTGAGCTGGCGCCCACACGATGTGAACTCCCCTAACTCGATCTCCGTGGAAACCGGTCCGTAGAATTTTGAGTGCCTCGGACGATATGCGTCCCCTCGTGTAATTTAAAATTGCCGGCTTGGAGTCGCTTACTATGAATTTGATCTGGGAGGACGAGGTCATTGCCAGTGCAATGGCTGCTTCCTCCCCAACCTCGGATGAAGTCGTGAAGACCGTGCCAGAATTAATTAACTTGCCCTCTCGATCAACTACCGATGTGGCCATGGCGTCGCGACTACTGTAATCTGCGGCATCCACGTAAACCACGTCCTCGAGGTGTGCGAACCTTTTATCTAGTGCTTGTGCTCTGGCCTGCCTGCGTTCCGTATTGTGTTCGGGGTGCATGTTTCTTGGTAATGGTGGGATATGTATATGCACCCTGATATCGGGTGGAATGTCGTGTTTTTCCCCGAGTCTTCCTTCGTAGTTGATATGTAGCGTCTGGAGGATGTGTCTGCCAGTCGGACTCTTGGTGAGCCTTTCCATCTGCGCTATCCTCTGTGCTTCTACAAGCTCGTCTAGCGTGTTGTGCAATCCTAGTGCTTCAAAGCGCTCGTTGGAGGTCGTGATTGGTATGCCAATTGCCTGCTTGTAAGCCCTTTTTATTAAAGCGTTGATTTTGTTGCGCTCATCTGCCTTGAGGTCAAGGAAGGGAGCGACATAGGTTACTCGACTCAGGACGAATGCCTGGACCAGCCTGATTAAGTTGCCCTCCTTCATTCCGTGATGCCTATTGGCTATCCGCGAAATGAGGCGGGTGGTTTGACACACACTTTTTTCGAGTGTTCGGATTGTCTCAATGTTGTGGCCGTTCTCCTGAATTTTCAAGCCTAAGACCCTAATGCTGTGTACTACCGGGATGGGCAGCCCCCCGCAAGCGTATAGATGAATTCGTGGTTTTTCGGTGGTTGCTTCCTTTTTCTGCCCTCTCCGGGTTGGCCGATAAAGGAGCAGCTCCGATTTTTGTGGGGAGCAGCTTAAGCCTTTCGGTTCCACGTACCCTTCCACCGCGTTTATTGCCTGCTGTAGTGTGTCCTGCACGTGCCCGTCGCTGCCGCCAGCCACCCAGAGTGTGACGTCGTCAGCATACAGGCTGTGATTTAGGCCATGTATTTTCTCTAAGAGGCTGGGCAGGCCGATCATAGCGACGTTGAAGAGGAAAGGCGAGAGGACAGAGCCTTGCGGCGTGCCTCTGCTCCCCAACTCCAGCTCGCCAGACTCAACCCCCCCTACTGTCAGGGTGACCGTCCTGTCAGATAAAAAATCCCTGATGTAGTCGTAGGTCCTTTGACCTACCTCCAACTGTTCTAAGTTCTCTAGAATTGCTGCGTGTTTTACATTATCAAACGCCTTTGTGAGGTCGAGCCCCACAATGGCCCTGGTGTCTAGCGGGGAACATTCCTCCCCATCTATAATTTGATGTTGGAGCCTCAGCATCACGTCTTGAGTCGAGAGCCTGGGCCGAAAACCTATCATGGTATGGGGAAAGAGTCCCTTCTCATCCATATACTTGTTTAGTCTGTTTAACACTGTGTGCTCCATCAGCTTCCCCACGCATGAGGTGAGCGAGATGGGCCGCAGGGTCTCCAGATTTAGCTTTTTGCCCGGTTTCGGTATCATGATAACCTTAGCGGTCTTCCATTGTGTGGGGATTTTACCGTCCTTCCAGCACTTGTTCATGTACTTGGTGAGAGCCTCGATGGAGTCGTCATCTAGATTCCTCAGCATTGTGTTTGTTACCCCGTCCGGACCCGGAACGGATTTGGTGCGGAGACCTAGTATGGCTCCCCGCACCTCCGCCGTCGTAAACGGTTGGTCAAGAGTCTCATTCGAGGCTCCAGCGTATGTTCTAAGTTGTTCTTTTGGATTGGTCCCGATGTATCTGTTGCGGACTTCCTTGATTAGGTCATCGTTCGTGCCCTGGTAGGTGTGCAGAATTTTACTTAAATTGTGTTTCTGCGTGGTCTTACTTTTATCTGGGTCGATTAAGTACCTAAGGATATTCCAGGTTCTTGCAAGGCCCATCTGTAGTTCCATACCGTCGCACGTGCTGTGCCAGTTTTGGAGCGACAGCTGGTTTGCGTAGTCCTCTATTGTTTTATTAAGGATCGCTAGACGTCGACGAAGTGCGCGGTTTAGTTTTTGTTTGTTTAACCTTTTCTGCAAGCCTTGCTTCGCTTCCCACATGTGCAGAAGCTTAGCGTCGGCTTGTGTTAGTTCGGCTTCCTCCGGAATGGTCTTTGTTGCTTTCTGTACGCATGTGTGAAGCTGTTCGACCCACGACTCGATGTCCTCAATCTCGTGCGGTTCTGTTTTGTCCTCGTATGAATAACGTTCGGCTGCTCTTAGTTCCCTGAACTCGTCCCACTCGACGATCTTAAGCTGCGTGCCCTTTTTTGGTTTGTGGGGGCCCGCTTCTAGTTTTGTGGCCACTATATAGTGGTCACTTCCTAGATTTTCCTGCGTGTTTAGCCACTCGGCTTCCTTTTTAGCGTTCTTTGTGAATGTTAGGTCCGGCGTGGTGTCCGCACATACGCTGTTTCCCAACCTAGTGGGGTACGCGGGGTCGGTGACCAGAGACAGCCTCTCCTGCTGGGCATCCAGCCAGAGATTCCGTCCTTTGATCATTTCCCGCTTGTATCCCCAGGCTGGGTGGTGTGCGTTGAAATCACCTACTATCACTAGTGTTTGACGCTTTGCAATGTCTAATGTCTTGCGAAACAGGTTCGCGAATCTATGTTGCTTGCGTGGGTTGCTGTATACGTTTAATACAAATAGGCTTCCCATGCCCCTTTTTTGGCTTGAGATGATCTCCACGAGGACGTGGTCCACGGTAGTTACGCCGGTATCGCGCCGTATAACCGGCAGATTACGTCTAACGAGGGTCGCTACTGTTATACGTTTATCGTCCGAGGCCGGTTCCTCCTCACTGTAGTACGGTTTGTACCCCGAAAGTTTAGCCAAAGCTCCCGTTTCTTGCAGGCATATGACGTCTGGCGCCTCTCCTGCTATTTTATTGTCTATGAATTGCTGTAGGTTCCCCCTTTTGCGGCGGTACCCGCGGCAATTCCACTGCCAAATTATGTATTTGTGATTATTCGGTGCCATAATCCTTAAGCTGTGTACTTTCTAGGCTTGTTCTAGCGCTTTCCAATGATACGGGTCTGGCGTAAGGCTTGGTGGATTTCATCGGCCCTGCTCCTCCTCCCCCGCCGGTGAAGCGCGGTGAGGTGGCCTCAATCGCCGTTACCCTAGCGTTAAGTGCTGCGATTTGCGTGCCTATGCTCTCGGCAAATTTCGCCAGCATGGCTTCGAATTTTGTGGTGAGCATTTCGCTCAGCTTCTCCCCGAAATGCTGCAGTGTCTCTGCGTCCCTTTTTTCTGCTCTCTTTGGGAGCCTTGGGATGTTTGTTATTGTTGGGTCTTTCGCCTTACGCTTCGGGGGAGGAGACTCGGGCTCCGAGTTTTCCATCTCGTCACTGGACGAGTCCTCAGCTAGCAGGACCTGTGTGGGTCGTGGTGTGTTTGCCTTGCCCTGGTCTGGCGGTGGGGCCTGCGATTTCGAGGGACCCTGCGTTTCGGGGACTAGTTTGTCGGCGTTTTCGCTTCCTCTTAGTTTTGCCACTTCAGCTTTTAGCTTTGTATTCTCGGCGACTACCATCTCTAGCATTTGCTTGATTTTGGTGAGTTCCCCCTGTTGCTGCCTGTCTGCCTGTTGCGCGCTAGTTTGGTTGATAATCTTTTTCTTTGCATTCTGCGGAGCCGAGCTGTGGGAGACCGTGCTAGCCCAGCTCACCTTGTTCTGCTTGGTTCCTCCCGGAGTCTCGTGTCGGCCGCCTCGGGATGTCGATCTTGACTCATGTCGGCCTTGGGTGTTAGGGCTCCGGCATCTTGACTTAGATCTTGACCGGCGCTGCTGCCGCTGTCCCGCGTCGTTGTCGCTCCATGATCCGCGGTGGGGTAGACGTGGGAAGGAGCCCGAACGATCTCTCGTCCCCCTTTCTTTCGTTCTCCCGCCGCCCTCGCTGCCACCCAGAACGGACGTCGACTCTGCGTTTCGGTGCCCGCCATATTGACCAGCGCCATTCTGACGTTCTTTTTCTCGCTGTCTCTTCCGTAGTAGGTACGGCGTTTGGAACCGGTTCTTACAGTTTTTGTCTCCAGTGGGGTGATCCCCACAGCACAGGGCACACTTGGGGTCACATTTATGCCCTTCTCGTGGATTCTTTGCACCGCAAGAGCGGCATATTTTGTCTTCGGGCGTCGGGCAGACGTCCATGCGGTGTCCCACTTTTCCGCAGGTGGAGCACACTTCGTGCTTTTTTTTATGTAAGAAACACCGGTACTCCGCTCCACGGTAATATACATAATAGGGCACTTTGTTGCCCTCAAAGACGATGACCGCCGAGTTGGTTTTTCCCATTCTTTGTGCCTGAAGGATGGTAGGGTTCTTGTTGTAGACAAGGCTGCGCGTAATGTCTTCCGCGGTGTCATAATCTGGGATATTATGTATAACCCCCTTAGCAGTATCCTCTGGCGGCGCCGCGTACGCGGTGACTTCATAGGTCTTGCCTGCGATGCAGATTTTTGAAATGGAGTTATATTTCTTAGCTCGTTCCATGCTTGGTGTGCTTGTCACGATGATGTTTTTCTCCGGGTTGACCCGTAGCAGGTCTCCCTCGGCTTCCTGCTCTTTGAGACCGATGGCGCAAAATACGCCGTCGCGTAGCCTCGCGGAGCTCACCTTGGTAACATCGAGGCCCTCTCGTGGCCGCAGAATGATTTTTATGTCCTCGCGTGGGAGGGCTGGTTGCTGACGCTGTTTCCTGTGTCTCTGAAGTGGTTTTCGGTTTCCTGTCCGGCCACCTGCGTCGTTTTTGGCTGTGCTCGTCGCCGTGAGGCCTAGCTTGTTGAGGGCTCGTGTGCCCCGTTGTCGGTGGCTCACGAGCCAGCCGGCCTCTGCTGTACACTCTTCCGGTGAGATGTCCTCACCTGCCACTTCGACGTAATCCATCTTGGGTCTCGGTGCCTTGGGGAGGGCTCCGCCCCCGCCGCTGGCCTGCTGCAGGTGCCGTATTCCTCGTTAGGGTTAGTGGGGCGCCGGCCCGTCGGTAGGAGGAATTGGCTGAACAAGGCCAGGCGGTGGTCCGATTTCCATAAACGTGGTGTCCTCGGGTAGCAAATACCTTTAGGCACCCGGTGTTGTGGTTCTTGCTGGAAGGTTTGGGGTATTTTTCGCCTTTGAAGCTGATTGTTCGCAGAGCGCCGATCGAAGCTGTGCACGCTCGCGCCCTTCGCTTCTTCTCCTGTCCTAACAGAAAACAAAACGACAAGGAAGTGAAGGTAACACTGAAAGACAATGAAAGGACAGCAGTGACGTAAATGCGCCACGTCAAAGGACGACTGGAGAAATGCCGCAAACGATTAAGTATGCAAGATTGGGCTGCATGTGAGTGCTGCAGTGTTGTATATCAGAACCACAGGACTTTCTAACAGCAACTAGAAAAAAGGAACAGCGGGAACTAAGACAAGCAAGTTTGATCAAAGAGGGACTGTCCGTGGCAAAAGAGGGCTTTTCAGCACACCTGGGAGTGTTAATGTTAAGATATCAAGCCACGCCTGTTCACTTAAAACTTATCTCTGAGTGGTGAGTTTCTGAAGCCATAGGGGTTTTCATGCGGAAGTGCTAGTGTAACTCAGTAAAACACAACCTCTTATAGGTATGTTCCACTTTCCTTCTAGGGAAGCTGCGGGGATGGTACCGGGGGAAGACAAGGACAATTAAAGAGTAATTTGTTTTTTGTTAATGAAGATGTTTTATAATTTTCATTAACAGGTAATCCAGGCTCTGTTTAACTACTGACAGCTAGTCATTTATTATTTTTAAAATAAAAGTACAGTATTCATCATATCCACTAAGCCTATATAATGCTTAGTGTTAGGTGCATTTTTGCACCATTTCATGATCAAATGTCCTGCAATAAGAAGTTTGAGCTGCGGTACATGGCGCATTGCATCATAAACTATCTTTGCTTAGCATAACTGCCCAAAGAGCTTTACATCTCAGATTTGCTTAAAACTTTATTTTGAAACATTAGTGCATAAAATCTGAGTACATGAGTGCAGGCTCAAGACAGCCTTCATCATGACAATTGATGCACATCACTATGATTCATATCGGTTGCATCAATTGCTATGACGAAAGGTGCCTGAAGCATGCATTCACTGTGCTCAAATGTAGTACAGTTTCCCCTCAAGATCCCGTGCAAAATGTAGCATTCCTTATGATCCCTATAGCCATGCCCAAGAGGATCTTTGGGAGGTCCATGGGATTTCCGGGAGCTTCCAGGCTCATTCAGAGTCTCATTCGGGATGCTTATGGGAGGTTAGTGGGAGCTCCCAGGGACGTCCTTCTTATCCCAAAGGTGACGACAGACACCCTTTGGACATACCAGAGACAAATGTGCGCTGTCTGGGTTTGTAATATGCGGCAGTCGCGGTCCAGAAGCGAGCTTCGTCCAGTGTCCAGTAACGACAAAAAAAGCGGCGGCGTGTTTTTTTTTTTTTTAAGGGCGCATGAGGCAATTATTTCAATAGAACAGAAATCTTGACTTCTGTGCACCCCCTTCTCTCCCCCCTTTCGTGCCAAACCCTTCCGACGCCCCTGGCTTCATTGCTCAAAAGAGGCGATGTAATTTGAACCCTTAAAACGATTTTTTTTATAGTCTGATTTGGCGAAAAATTGGGAGACCGCATCAATAACCCTTTTTTCTCAAGTGGTAGCCCAAATATTTTGTAAAATAAAAATTTCCCTTGAATTTATTGAATTTTTAAGTTGCTCCGGTCGCGAGGGTTCCAGGAGGCGAGTCTCTACTGGCATGCACAGTGAAAGATCCCTACTTTTCCCCACCCCTGCACGTCACCGGCGGGCAGGCGGACGAGCGACCCGGGCAGCCGCGAAGCGACTTTCCGGGCTCCAGCGATCGATATTATTTTACAGCGAAGCTGTTGATGGCTAGAGTTCAGCGGATTTTTTATGTGCGCCAACAAAAGCTCGCGCTTCATCTCTTTATCGTCGTTCCAAGCGCTTGCGTGCCTAGTTTCCTTCCGCTCTCCCGAGGTGGCGGTCTCGTCGCGCGTGTCTGCTTTCCGCCGGGCGGCGATCCCGTCGCGTGTGTCTAGTTTCCTCCAGCTCCTCGGGGCGGCGATAGTTCGTGCCTTTTTCCTAAATTCTGTGTCACGTCTGTGTCGTGTGCGAAACAGCTTCGCTGGCCATTCACCTTCACAGAGTGGAATGGCTAATGATTTTTTTCACAGCTTCAAGGTGGATAATTTCTTTGCAATGAGTAGCAGTCTGCGCTCCGCGATATATTGTAGGAACAGTGCCGGGAAAAGCTTCTCGTTACCCTTGTTTTTGTTGGAGGAAAATGCGCTCCCCGGCAGTAGTGGTTCCTTTGCGCGAGCTGTGAGATCTTGTGTCATGAAACATTCTCACTTATGCTCGGAATACTTTATATATAGCCGCGTACTGCGAGTTGAGTATTTTTCAGCACCCGGAACAGCTTCAAGAGCGACAAGCGGACTCAAGCCAGCTGTGATCGCTACGACATCCGTCTAAAGAGAAGCGCTAATAATATCGATAACAATAGCGTACTTTCTAGCACTATTGTGGACGTCTGGCGCAGTCACATTTGTCATTCACAATTGCTTCAGGTTTTTTTTTTTTCATAAACATTATATCCGTTTTGGACATGGAACCTAGCTCTGGTTACTCTCGGAGTTCCAGTCACGCGGCCGATCTGTTGAAGAAGAGAAGTGAAACGTCTAAACAATATTTTCGTCTGAGTATAGACATGACTTTCGACACATTGCTATTCGTGTCTGGTATTACAGAGGGAGCAGGTGTTGTGCTCCATTAATATACGATATAACCGTTGACTGGTTTGTCAAATGCTTGGCGCGGGATATTCTCTCGCAAAAAAGGAGATGAAAGCGTTTTTATTTCATTATATCGCAAAGAAATGTTATATCGCGCTGAAAAAATTTTACAACCATAAAATATTAAGGTCGTTGAGGGGAGTCATGTAAATTTAGAGCTGATTGAAACTGTGCAAACCAAAACTTAGTTTAAAGAAAAAATCTTATTTCAAATTACCCCCTTCCTATGTGCACTCGTGAATGAGTGTTTGATTTGAGCCCGTTGCATTCCTCTCAGTCAGTAAAAAAAAAAAAAAAGAAGAAATATGGGTTAAAATTTTTTGGGGGTAACTTTTAAAACAGTTCGGCGCCAATTACGTTGAATATCCCGATTTAGTTTAAAGTGACCCTCAATTGCAGCAGTTAAGGCGCGGCTTGAAAGTCATTGAAAGTCACATAAAATTTTATTTTCAGCAGTCTTATATTACCGGCTTGCAACATACTTGCTGAATATCTTTGAATGCCTTCCATTATTTTTCAAAGTGTTTCACCTCTACTCAAGATAATTCTTACTAAAATTAACTTGAATACTATAGTCGGTTACAAGTCAAGAAGGTAGGAGAAGCTCCTCCCACAAGCGTGGTGCGCCGGTTTCGAATTCCTTCGCAGTCGAAAGAAGAGTCCACAGGAAACGCTCCTTGTTCCGCTTCAATGGATAGATATTGGCTACAGAGTGATGCCAACTTGTCTCTGACCCCCACTTTTTAAGAAATCGACCTTTGTATTCATCGGAGGGGGAGCCGAGCCCCTAAAAGCAGCCTTTGTATCCTCTCGGAGTTCAAACATATCTGTTTTTAACGTCGGCTCGCAGCTCGCGACTCGCAGCAACTAATACCGGCCGTGCCAGAAGCATGCTCGGGTCGTGTCGTGCAATGAGCCGCAACGTGAACGAGCTCACTGTGGCCAACTACGCTTTGGCTTTCTCCGCCAAGGCTTTGCAAATGTGTTCAGGCCTAGGCTAATTCTGCCGGCACGCCGTATTGCCGCAGAATGGCGTTGTTCCTATGCCACAAGTGATGTCACGAGAACTTTCCCACCATCCACCAGATGTGAATTTGAAATCGTTTAATTAGGTTTAAAATTAGTTTTCCTGTGTTTTACAGCGCGATATTGATATTTCCGAGGTGGTGCCTGTCCCTAGCCCATATTTATGCAGAAAGATCGGCGCTAAAATTTTGTTTCCGTACCCCTTTAAATCTAGCTTCTATATATTATGTGTATTTTAGGATGCGGAATACCGCCACTCCCGTTCCTGATTTCCGCGTATCCGGATTGCATAAGAAATGACACGAAAAAAAGATGCGAGATCTTGGCGCGTTTCCGACTCTTCTGTCGAGTTGAAGCTCGCTCGCTCGCTCCTCCCGCATTCCTAACGAGGCCAACGAGGCTGCCACAACCTCCCCCCATGTGTTTCGCGCTCGGTGCTTCGAAGCGTGACGACCTTCGCCCACTCCTCTTGCCCGACCCTGACACCGTATGCCATCTGGCAGCCGTCTGCCCGTTCCCGTCGGAGATAAGGGGACGTCACCCGACTGTGAAGCGGAGCTCTCTCGCTCATGTTACGTAAACTTGCACTCCCGACAACTCATTCCCGTACGGACGCGACTGGCCAAGGGCGAACGGAGTCAACATAAATACGCGCGTGCTATCTCGCGAACTGATCATATTTACGTGGGTGTTCAACCGCGTTCCCATAGCATTGTCGTGGCAACACCTGGATTTGCCCCATATTTACATGCTACGTTAATTAACTGAGATTTTTTTTTTTTATTTCAGTGGGTGTTCAGCCTAGCTGGTAATTATTGATGATAATTTACCACCTGTGACTGTGGTGCAAAACAACTTGTACTCGTTTTACCTCAAGAACCGTAGTAAAACGAGTCAGGCTCCAACTCATGTTTACAAACAAACCGGAGCGCCGGGAGCGCCCCTACCGGATGCCACCGGCGCCGCGCATGCGCGATGGGGGTGTGGGCAAAAAGCTCGCCGTCGCCCATAAACAAACCATTGAAATGCGATGTTGTCGGCGCCGGTGTG